TGTGGAACTTTATAGGATATATATATCCCGTAACAATTTTTCTGGAGATTGAATTTTCTAGACACTTTAATACTAGTGTCGTATTGCGATCAAAACGTAAGTGACGGTACATATAACTTAATATAGATGGATATAATAATAACGTATCCAAAAATATAAACAGATTAAACACACAGTGTATATTAATATTGCATAATTGCCAAGCTAAAAATAGTCTATATAATATAATAAATCTAAAAATAAATATAAAAAAATCGCTGCTAACCGATTCAGTGCTCCAAAGTCACAACCCTGGAATTTACCAACAAAGGGGAAGAAAATGAAACGGATATTCATCTCTGGAAATGTATCACCATTACCACCGAGAAGAGTTGAACAGTGCAACGAGGACGGTTTCAAAAAGGTGGAAAGGAAGAAGTACACCAGCCGTAACCTTAGTGGCACCGCCCCGCCTTACCCTAATCATTTACTGCGTCCAGCGATACCGACGACGTTGTTATACGTGTCACGGCTTCATTACTCCACAAAGTCTGCCGATATTGTGGAGTATACATATACGGGTGAAAGCTAATGCTAGCGTGAGGGTCGAGCAGTTGGTATCCCGCCACTATGTACATTTTAATTCATTTGTGGTGAGAGTACCAACTCAACATCTGTCGACCTTCATGACAGATGAGTTTTGGCCGAAGGGGGTCACGTACCGACGTTTCCGAGGCCGGCTATCGGACACCCACGTTGCGTCATACGTCGCAGACAATAATAATTGTAAATAATAATTAGTCAGTAGTGTTTTTATTGTATTATTATGTATATTAGTTTATAAGATATGTAAGGTATGTATGTATTTATGGGTCTTTGTTACGTGAATGCAAATAAAAAAATAATGGATTATGAGAGTCAAGGATGTAAAGAACTCCAGACTTTCTACATTATATGTTTTTTTCTGTGGTTTTGAGACTTAATAAGAATTGCTAAACTGTTATAAGACTATATTACTTGAGTCTTTACCTATCTACTTGCCATACATAATTTTTTAAACTCCTACTTTATTTTTTATACTTAATCTCAATTATTTATTATAAAAATAACAGTGATTTACATTGTCCTCTCCCCAGGAGATAACTATTTATATCAGTCGCCAGGGAGAGAGGACGGGGGAAGAATAAAGTATGAAGACAAAGAGGAAAGTTAATGGTACAGAAAGGAAAACGGACAGAAGATTACAAACTAATACAGAAGAGCAGTCTAGACCCTCATCCCGTTCAATTCTGCAGTCACACCGCAACTTCCGCGTTAAATCAGAGAAACCCCGCGGCTATCCACTGCCCGTGACGGCGGCAGGCAATAACTGCCTTACAGGTTTGTATGTAGAAGGCTGACCTCTCATCCGTAGCTCCGATTCGTAGACGTGAGCAACGCTACGTTGTTCACGTCTACGAATCACACAGCTCACACACTCTGGGCAGCGCGTTTGCCGGAGACCGTAGCACAGTGTAAGACAAAGCCATGTAACCAGAAATTTTATTATTATTATTAGAAATGTTGTTTTAAAACATATACCGTATGAGCACCAACTCTGACGTGTTTAGCCTAACTTCATCTACGGGTAAGATAGTTCACGAAAATTCGCTAGACAAAATAAAATGTGAAGGTATTCGAAATAACATCACTGGAGTTAAAAAACGTGTGAGATAAAAACCGGTATTGTCCGACGTTTACGGTTCACCTGATGAGGGTCGCTTTATTGACTTTAACGGTTTATGGAGTGTCAGATTCCGATTTACGCCCGTATCCGGTTCGAACCGATAAAACGACTTCTCTTTTGTTAAATTGAATTTATAGTTTTCAGTTTTTATTTAAAATGTGCGTTTGATTAATGAACTCGCATGCCATTCATAAAAGGAAATACAACAATATTCAGCAGTTGAAATAAGAGTTCTTTTTTTTACGCTGTCTATATTCACACATTGAACTTTTGTTTTTCAAAAGTAAATAGTATAAAGCAAAAATTAAACAGGAAACAATCAGCTATGACAAAAGCTTATTTAGTTAATGAGTCATTTTAAGGCGAAAGAAAGTAGACGGTCTACATCGGCATCAGCTACTGCTTGTGTAAAACTTATTCAAAATAAAATTCTTAAGCCCAGTGTGGTGAAGGTCAAAGTAAAATAAAAGCCATTTGTAATTATTGTGAAGATTGTTATTTCGCATTTGTGAACAATGCATTCATTTGAACTAGTACGTTACCATTCAAAAGTATAAAAATTGAATTCTGAATCAACGGGCGGGCAAAAGCAACCCTCACTTTGAATTCAATTTTTGTAGTCTATGGCTTTGGAACAAACCGGACTGCGGATTAGATTAAAAAATAAATTTACTTCTTCATTTTCTTGCATTTTTGTATTTGGAACAAATATTTTTGGAGAAACGTGAACAACGAATTTTTATTTTATTTTTTATGTAACATAGAGCGATGCCCCACGATGCGTTGCGTCAACGTTGCGACACTTGGGTTGTATTACATACACCCCGGACATTCCATACAACAGTCGAAAATACCTACTACATATACAGCTAGGCGCTATCTGCACAGGCGCAAATGTTTGAAGTGGCAGAGGGTACCCATCACTTTCTCGTACGTGGTCAGAGCGGCAACATAGCGAAAATTCTAACGCGAATCTGTTATCTATAATTCTATTAATATAATTCAAATAATTACACATGTTCATTAGGTATTTATATCAATATAATATTATATTTTTCATTAATTCACTAACTAGAATAATCCTGAAGGTTTATTAAAAAAATAAATTTAAAAGCATGTAAAATGTTATAATTTTGGGCAGGCACTTTTAAATAAGATTGTAGAAGAGCTGCTGGTGCTGGTGGCGTTAGGTCCTGTTGGATGGAATGTAGTAGCCTCCGCAGCCTCCGCAGCCTCCATACATCTTACTTAGTAAGTTTAGCAATTCAAACGTTGAAAGTCCAGTTTATATGTATTTATTTGGTTTTAACAAATATATTATAATCTTTAAAATGTAAACTGTATAAATATAGCTAGTAAACGGTTCAAAAAGATAAGTAGAGATACGTTCGCTACCGCGATCGGGTAGAGAGTAACGATGGAAAGAAACAAAATCAGAATGCGAGGTAAAATGGAACAATTCAAAATTTTAAATTTAAATATGAGTAGAAGAAGAAAAACGTTACGATACGTTTAGAGAGAGGCGATACAAAAAGGTGGGATGACGGTGTAAGGAGGTCACACCGTCACAAGGTAACCAAGTTATTTGACATTGCAAAATTATCTTTATCATTACTTAGTTAGTAATCATATTCACTACATATTTATCGGCAATACAATTGAAAATTCGAGAACCCTTGCCTACTATATTACGTCTCATATTGATATAAGAAATCTGTATATTAACGTATAAGTTTTTCTTAATGAATGAATGAAAACTATATTCAAATATCAAAGTCGTCTTAGCACGAAAACGGCTCGTCGACAGCCTTGTTGCCGTGCAGTCAATGTGACCGCCAATGTGCGGGGCATGGTGTGGTATCTAAAGCTAGAGATGGGCGGAGAGTGTCCATTCTCGTTAATTTTTTGGTCTCTAATATTACATATAAACAAAACTACATGTTGCGGCACATTGAAACGCATCGGACAAGTGGCCAGGAGACGAAGTGGGGCGGGGTGCTGCGATGCGAAAGAAAAGGGCGCCGGAACGCTCGTGTGACACTCGGTACGTTGAAATCATAGCGTTGTCAATCCCAGACTCTTATATGATGTTAAACGTCGACGTATTCGACAATATTACGTTTATCTAGTAAACGTATATTCATTCTAAGCTTGAATAACTCGTAAATCTAGCTAACGGGTAATACAGATGCCGGCAGTGTTTTCCATTTCTTTACCGTACTCATAAGGAAGGGTATAACACACACGGTGTTATTGACATAAGCTTGGAGTGTTGACTATATTAATGAACCGAATGAATAACGGTGAAATAAACCCGACAAGCAAACCACTTTTCTCACTCTGAGAAGAATGACCGTGCATTCCGTTTTGGTGAGAATTAGGCAAGCCTCTGTTTTGGAGGCATTAAAACTGCGGCTCTTCGCGTCTCCACAATCGAAAGAAGAGAAAACGAAAGAAGAAGAAAGACGCTTTCAGGTTCAGGTTCAACCGCGTGGCCATCGCCTATCGTTTACGACGAATTCCTCCGCTGTTGACACGGGCTTCTGACATATGGCTCCACTATTGTGTTGTCGTTCGCGTATCCAAAGATACCGGAGGTCAGCAGCAGGTCTTTGATGTGCAACAACAATAAAGATAACGAGATAAGTAAACTAACAAGTAGGGGAGTATGCAAGATCCAATACAATGTATTGTTATACGTTGCGATGCAGACCAATTCAACATTTAAGCCATTTGATCTGGTTCATCACCTCCCACAACACGAAGACCAAGTGAATTCATATTGAATCCATGCTTATTTCGTAACGAATGCGATCAACGAATATTATAAAGTGTCCACGATAGCAATCCATTCGGGTGCTTTTGTTCCTTTTTACAGGCTATTTGTTTTTAAAACCTCGGAAAATTCTGAGGTGAAATTTGGGTGAAAAAGATAAAACAATTCTTTAAACACGCGCCGCCGCGATAATGCGGAACGAAATAGGAGCGTAAAGGTGGCAGATTGATTTTATGACGTCGAAGCGGTATTATCAATATTTTAAAGCTGTTTTTAATATTTTTTACGGAAGAATAACCAATTTTGAGGAAATGTAGAAAAATCTATTTTGGAATTGTGCATTAATTTAATGTTCAATGGGTGCTGTAAGTTAATGAGTGAAAAATTTAAAATTATTTGAATTATTATCCAACTTCATTTCACTTTGAATTAGTACACTGTGAAGATATTTTTTGCAAATTCACACCTATTTACATGCAGTTACTATCTATTAAGTAATAAGTATAATTAACCACTTACCAGCCTTGCAAGGATCCATCCCGTGATCGCCAGAGTCCTTGTGTTCGAAGTGTGTAGTCAACAACTCCTCTATTGTGAACTTATGTGACTCTCGCCTAACCTCCAACGAGGTTACTTCAATCATAACGCACACAAAAATAGTCATTAATGCGCTTACCGACGCGGCGCATGGGCGTTTGCACCAATAAGTCATTGTGAACATTTTAGATTACACTGGTGCACTATAACATAATCTGGTTTTTGTTTGGAAGCTACCTGTAACAAAGAAAAGAAAATGTTAAGAAAATTAACTTTATGAATATCCCTCCTCCACCTCCGTGGTTGGCTTGCACACAGGTTTTCAGGTCTTGGGTTCGATCCTCGGCCGGGTCAAAGTAGGAACTAACTTTTCTATATTGTCTCGGTTCTGGATGTTTGGGGTACCGTTTTTGTTTCCGATTTCCATAACACAAGTGCTTTATTTACTTTGGAATCAGAGCAACGTATGCAATGGTGTCTAATATTTATTGATGTGGGTATATAAATAAATGCTGTAGATGTAAATGAAACGTTTGTTGAAATTCTTCTTTGAAACAAAACACGAGTTGTTGATTACCATACAATCAACAACAACAACAACTTTTATTACTTTACATGCGTTTTCGTCTCGGGGGCTTTTATAAATACTTCGTAAAACGCGTGAGACGCGCTGAATTCATGTTTTTATGGATGAACATGTCAGCTTTCTGTCTGAATGGGGGTACATTTTAATAGTTTTTTGAAAGATGTCCTCGTTTTAGTTTATTTTATAAATGATTTAACACTAACCAGTGACAAACTAATTCATAATTAAGAAAATATTGCTGTCACCGTCTCAAACCGACTCAACCGCTGGACGCCAGTGTCTATGGAAATAAATCACAGTTGGTACTGAAAAGGAAATGCTTAATCTCCGGATAGGGTAAGACCAGACAAATAGATTGGCTTCACGCAACTCGGTTGCTTCTTAAGATGTGATATACGGGATTAGGAGTCTGATGTTATGTTGTTTTGTAGAAGGGTAACAAACTCAAAGGTAACAATACTGTCTACTATTTATAGTTTATTGGCTGACTTTTTAAATCGTGATAAGTTCTCATTTAGAGTATATACATGGTATAACTGTTTGTTAAAAGGAGCAATAACATTTTGGTTTCTCTCATCTTTCTCTTCAATTTCATGCCTCAACCATTAGTTACTAAAATATATAAAAGGACCTTATGGTGTAAATTAACCATCGGTTGACAATTACAGAATTATGTATTGTGTGATTAGAGCTCCATAGCACGGATACCACTATTACCGTACTATTTGATAATTGTAATAAAGCCCCATATCATACGTCATAATCTTAGTACAGAGCACCAAAAAAAACCGACTTCTAAAGTACGTGGAATTTCATCTATTTGCCAAGTTTTTTTGAAATAGGTTACCGGAAAGTGCCGAAACCCTGATTCATCCCTTAGTTCGCCACTATACGGAACTTGACACAGGAGATAATAAAAATCGGTTCTCACTACTTAAAGAATATTGAGAGAGAAAAACGCCTTGAATTAGAGAATAGCAAAATCAACCATTAAAATAATTGCTCGTTATAATAAAATTTAGGCGTTATTTATAAAAATGAATCTTCATGCGTGAACAGCCACTCTTAGAGGTGGATGATTTTCTTTAAAATTAAATGGGACCACTATGGGGTACCCTCTTTCCAACAAAAAAAGAATCTGAAAATTGGTGCACAAATATCAGAGTTATGGCGTAACATACATACAAAAAAAAGTAGAAACATACAGTTGAATTGAGAACTTCCTCCTTTTTTGAAGTCGGTTAATAAAAATAACATAAATTACATTAAACTAATTATGTATATGTGAAATTTTTAGCTCTCACATTTAAGCATTAAAAGATAAGGACTAATTTCATTTGCAAAATCTCTAAACCTCTCTCTTGAACAGTTGACACAACCCTACCTATTTCTACCACCAAGCAGTAATGTGAGCAATACTGCGTTCCGGTTTTGTAGGGTAAGGGTGCTGGTGAAATTACATGCCCCTGGGACTTGTCAACTTATGTCTCAGAGTGGCGGGCGCAGTGACAGTGTACGATGCATGTTACAAATAACTATAGTCTGTCTTTTTTGAAGACGGAGTAAAATGACATTTATAGGGTTGCCAGTTTCATAAAATTTTAAATAGTTATATAACTAACTATATCACTAAATTTGCGAAAGGAGACAAAATTTTGCCAAAAATGACTGAATTGTGAATGTTACGACGTTCTAATGATAACCCATTGCGTTATTTTCTTCTTTATTCCTATTTTGGCAGTTAGCTTACTAGGATCGAGATAAATTTTTATTCATACAGGTACATTTTAACAAGAATAGCCGGATTTGATTATCTATTTTGAACTAAATTTAAAAGCTTCAAAATATGTCTTCTCTTTCTATTTTTCATAAACATAGCTCTAAATACAGAGTATGTATGTATGAACTTGACAATTCAAATGAACTTGTGTTCTGAAATTGGATGAAGTCGAGGATAATTCAAATGAAACATCGCGTATATAACCAGAAATACATTAGCAATACAGCTCTTATAAATAACAACTCTCGTTTGCACTGAAATATAGACAGGCCAACTACTGACCTCTGTGTATGTCTCCGTATATTCCAAAAAATATTCTGTATTTATTTTAATAAAGATAATATCACTAACAGTGCCGTGCTGTTATATTCGGTGTGTGGGAAAAACAGCAAAACATCTAATCACAAAACAAATGGAATCAAATTTCATCGGTAATTAAATATTAAATATGTAATTTTGTAATTTTCGTCCATTATAGCAAAGCTCAAGTTAACTGGTCGATTTGAAGTGAAACAGTTGACACCCATCAATTGTTTCGAATCCAGACTGGCCAATCGGAGCGCAGTTGTCACAGTAATGATATGGCAGAATAGTTTTCAAACAAACTAAATGATTTTCTCGTCATTAATAAATAAAAAAATTTAACTGCCTCCGTGGCCGAACGGTTACCATGCCGGACTGCCACGCAGAGGTCCCAGGTTCGATTCCCGGGCCGAGAGAAATAGTTGTATAGCCTACAATTATTTCTCTCGTGAGTTTGGGTGTAATTTGTGGTTGTCTATGTGTGTGTCCATGGCACCCGTGACACAGGGTTTCCCTAGTGCGGGGCTATGTTGAGTGTGTGCGTTATATATATACATATATTCGTCATTCATTCATTCATTCAGTCATTCGTCTCTATTTCTGGTTATATACTCGATGAAATGAAACTTGTCCGGTCATTTATTTCATAAGCGTGACCTATTGGTCAGTGGATAGCGATAGAATATTTATCGGCTGCGATCACTAGCTACTTGCAACACTTTTGCGCAATGAACTGTCATTTTACACCGCCGTCAAAAAACATGCACAGACTATACTTCGACAGTTTATGGATTTTGCAGTTTGAAGAAACTATTTAATATAGAGTCGAATTTCTTATATTTAATTTGATTTATAGATTTGAATTGGTGCTTGTACAAATAAACTGTTGTAATCATATACATTTCAGTCAGACGATACTTTTTTTAGTCGTATTTCGTCTTGTGATTTCGAGAATGACATACTCTCCCGCAGGAATCTGACTAGTGATATGGATTGCTGTCAATTTGTTACCGCTGACTTATATAATGAAAACGCTATTTACATATCTAGCAGGCCGAAACATCGAGGCCAGCGCGACACATGAGCATTTATTATAATCTCTTATTGCACTTCGCTTGTTTGTCTGTTTAGGTTAAATCGTGCAAATCAATTTCATACATTTTCCATCAGGTGAGATAGAGGCCAAATTTTCAACAATAACTTATGGAAAAAAGACGTTTAGTATACCAGATTAAAAGTTGCATAATAGTTTTATGTAGTATGTGTAATAGTAGTTTTGTGTAGTATGTGTAATAGTTTTTGATGAATCGAACATTGTTTGAGCGTAGGCATTTAATATTGAAAATGCAAGGTGGCTCCAACTATGTGTCCAAGGGTTTATAACGTTTTCTAAACAACTTCTTTAGAACATTTTGAAACGCTCTTGTTTCAAATTTAAATAACGTGTGGCGTTCATCCATGTCTCCTTTTGTAATCACTTGTTTGTCATTATATTGTACAACAAGCTAGGTACTCAATTTTCATTCCCAAACTTTATCACAAAGCGTATTCCGTACTGAAATACGAAGGGATTTCAAAGCAGCAATTTCTCATTCATTGTATGACAGGCTTTGGCTCGTTGTTTTACTCTCACATGGTTGATCGTCTAGTACAAGTATAAAAAGGAGATTTTGTAACTAATAGATATTTTAAAAGTAAAGTTCTCTTCTTGCTGGTGTCATTTGAATCTGTTTAGTTTAATCAATCATCTAACGTGGTCTTAAGGCATGATGGTCGTTGGTGGCGTTGCCATATGAAAATAAGAAGTGGAGTTTATAAACGAGCGGGCATGGACACGGGGGCTTTTTGTATGAGGTACTTGGAAAGTGATCAAGCGCGGTCGTTTCATGTGAACTTGCCGTTATACAGTTATAATCCATTTTAGTACCATCCATCTTATGTACTTTTGAAGTAATTACTTTGAAAAGTGGATAAACGAATAAATTGCCATCAACTGACGTTGTTATTTCACCGCCGACTGAACAATATCAATCCACGAACGTTTCTTATTTAATGCCTGTCTAGAGCACTGTATTATTGTATGTATATTATATCAAATTCCTAATTATCAAATTTACTAGTGTCATCAGCTGTTAGAATGCTTTCATAATATAGGCAGCGGCGTAGTAATTTCCATAAGGCTCATTCTCATCCTTGTTACCATACATCGTTAGGAGTTACGACCTTCGAATTTTCACTACAGGTCCTCTTCATATTTAGAGGTCCCTTCTCTTAAGTGAACGTTACATTGGCCCTCCTTCCGCGTTTACGTCATTAATGTACTCTAGTACAATATGAAAGGCTAGATATTATGCAAAATACTGCAAACTTTAAACGTTTCAAAGCTTGAAAGTTGGCAAACTGAATAGAATTACAAAATTAAAATAAAATCTTGCCATAATTATTTTTACTATTAAATCATATTGTGATTACGCACAGAGTTTTTAACCTGTGTACCGCTTGTATAAAATCGGCATTTTATATAAAATGCCTGCAACTAATAATATTATTGGTATATTTATATTAATT